CAACCACGTCCCCACTTCCTTCTCCTTGCGTGGAGTATTCGTTCTATTTTGCTAGCGCTCATGTTGCGATTTTCTGGCCGCCGCTGCGGACTGGTCGCGGGCGCTCCGGGCCTGTTCCGCACTGGCGTTGAACCAGTGTGAGGGCTTTTCGGGATGCGCGTTTGGCTCCGAGGTCTGCGCGCGGAGCAAAAAGAACGGGAGGCGGCAAGAACGGGAAAGCGGGAACCAATACGGCATGGAAGACAAGGAGCAGGCTTCGACAAGAAAGCTGACAAACAACAACAACAACACCAACAACAACACCAACAACAACAACAACAATCATTTTACCCTCATGCGCGATGTGTCCACACGACGCAGGCGGCCATCATGATTTCCATCCACATCATGGGTGACTCTTGTTCTATAGCGGAGTCCGCTATTCCCATTCCAAGATCTCCCGCCCAATGAGGTCTTGCAAACACCTCCTCCGAGGAATCCCTCCAGCCCTCTGGGCGTAGGTGGTTTAGGGAGTTTCCTCTTCCACCCCTCCTTCCCCTTCGGGGAGGGGCTCATCACTGTTCCCAATTAATAAACACCCCCTCCCCCAGGCGACTGGGGCCAACCCAGGTCCATGACGACACCCCCACACCATCTTTTGTAAAAACCATACGAACACACACTCGGCCTCCAAATTCGGAACATGCGCAGCCAACCCGATGCGGCCCCCCCCACACCATCCCTGTCAAAAACAAAATAGAGTACACTTGGCGGCGGCGGCGGCTGCGGCGACTGCGGCGGCGGTGGCGGGGGCGGCGGCGGCGGCGGCGGGGGCGGCGGCGGCGGCGGCGGCGGCGGCGGCAGCGGCGGCGGCGGCAGTTTGGCAGCGGGGGGCGGCGGCGCGGCGGCGGCGGCGGCGGGCGGCTGCGGCGGCGGCGACGGCGGCGGCGGCGGCGGCGGCGGCGCGGCGGCGGCGGCGGCAGCGGCGGCGGGCAGCGGCGGCGGCGGCGGCGGCGGCGGAGGCGGCGGCGGCGGCGGATTGGCCCCTAGTAGCTGCCCAACCAAACACGACTGCTGAATATGCTGAGGCTCGGGCCAGATTCGGGTGCTACGTATGTGTTGGGAGGGCGGGTGGGAGTGAGCGAGACGGCTTGCGGGCGGGGAGGGGGTCTTGACCCCTCCCCCATACCCCCTCCCTTGGACCTAGACGGGGGGGTTCGCGAGGTGCCAGGGCGTCCAAAACGGCCTCGGCGATGAAGCCGAACTTATTGATTTTACTAGGGTTTGGCCCCATTTGGGCCTCCTGAAGGGGGAGGACTAATCATACCCTCCCTTCTGTGATCGATCTCGCCCAGGGCCCCAAGAGGTGGCCAGGAAGCCCCAAGAGGCCCCCAGGATGCCCCCAAGAGGCTCCCAAGAGACCTCCAAGAGGCCACAAGAGACCCCCCAGAGGCACCCAAGATGCTCCAAAAGGTCTCGGCGAGAATGCAACATCATTGTTGTTAGTTAGGTTTTGGCCACATGTTGGCCTCTTGGGGGTGGGCGCTGATTGAGATGATTCCAAGAGCGCCTGGGAGAGCCCACGATGACCTCCAAGATGGCTCAAGATATCCCAAAGTGTCTTATAATGGCTCCCACGATGCTCCCAGATGTCACAAGACCGTTTCAAGACGGCTCCAAGTGGCCAGAGAGCTTCCCTAGGAGGCCCCGAAGAGGCCAAAACCTTAGGAACATCTATGTGTTTGGCTTTCTCGCCTTTTCGCTTCCGATGGCCATCCGAGGCCTCAAGATGGCTCCAAGATGTCCCAAGAGGACTCGAAGAGAGGCTCAAGAGAGCCCACAGACGGCCCCAACAGCGCCTAAGAGCGCTCCAAGAGCGCCCCAAGAGCGCCCCAAGAGGCGATTGTTTCGGCTCCCGAAGGGCAACGCTAACTAATGCTCGCTTCTTGTTTGATCGATGTCCTCCAAGATAGCCCAAGAGCGCTTCAAGAGGGCCCCAAGAGGCGCCCAGGAGGCCCCAACAGGCGCCCAAGAGGCCTCCAATATACTCCCAAGAGACGCTCTCCGAGGCACCCAAGACGCTCCAAGGGGCCTCCACTGGGGGACCCTTCCTCTGTGTGCTGCCCACTTCTCTGATCGAGGCAATTCCTCTGGGCATCGTTTCTGGATGGGCTGGTGGGGTTACTTTTTTGATTTGCGGCCCGCAAGGAAAAGTCCAGAGGGCGGTCGGAACGAGGCTGGGGCACAGCGCACGATGATTAGCGCGAGAACGCGTGGAATGCACATGCAGGACAATTAGACGAGGCGGCCAGGGCCACAGGTGGGCAACCACAGGCCGGACCCGCAGGTTGGGCCGGGTCGAAACCCTGCCGGAGTGCAGCAGGCGAGTCGGCCACGGATGGGCAGACCAGGAGGGGAGGACAGAGAAGGCAAAAAACAGGACGCCGAACGTGTGCCAGCGAGCGGAGGGGGAAGCAAAAGAAGGGACGGACCCGCCCGTGGGGCCCGGACTGCCAGGCAAGCCAAACCATCACTCACTTGGACGTCGGCCAGCCTGCTAGCAACAGAGGGGAGTGCATCCCACCTCCATGGGAGCGACCAAGAGAGCCCTGGTATCGCGGTGAGCGTCTTGTGCATCCAGAAGGCACTCCTGTGACTGCAGCGGACGTCTTACACGTCGCCAATCGGGTGTTGGACCGACGACCCTATCTGCCAATGCCGACAAGGCTGACCGTACTGTCACCACGCCAATGTGCAAGATGGGGAGCTGGAGCCGCCGTCGCAATAACGACGACGGGGGAGCCACTGCATGCAGCCGAGTCCAAAGGGTGGGCCCAGCTGGTGGGATTACGCGAAGCGTCTGGAATTTTAACATATCCTGCCTCGAAAACACATGCCCGCGCCTTGCTGCGCCGGTGCGAGACCGCCAGTGGAACTCCAGCGAAAGGGTAAAGCACAAGGAAGTATCGAACGACAGGATTGCCTTGGTGGGGATGGGGGCTGTCGGCGGTGAGGCAAGGACCTGGCCTTGAATAGAAAGGGAGACAGTCTCGAGCAGGGCTGCTGTTGTTGCTGGGAGCGGCGTCAATTCTGAAGAGAGTAGGGCGCTAGTCCAGCGTAAACAAAACGAAGTCTCAGGCGGGAACGCTCGTTTTGTTGGGGCGGCGGCTTTCGGCGGCGAGGAGGAACACTGCCTTGAGTAAGACAGGGGGAAGCATCGAGCGGGAGCCGTGGTTTTGTCGGGACGGGGGCTGTCGGCGGCGAGGAATAGCACCGTCCCGAAGGAAAAGAGAGGACATCTCGAACGGGAGCGTTGTTCTTGCTGGGAGCGGCGCCAATTCAAAAGAGAGTAGAGCGCCAGCCCAGCGTAAAACGCAAGGAAGTCTCGGGCGGGAACGCTGACTTTGTCGGGGCTGCGGTCTTCGGCGGCGAAGAGAAAACACTGCCTTGAGTAAGAAGGGAGGAAGCATCGACCGGGAGACGTGGTTTTGTCGGGACGGGGGTTGTCGGCGGCGAGGAACAGCACCGTCCCGAGGAATTGTTCTTGCTGGGAGCGGCGCCAATTCAAAAGAGAGCTTAACGCCAGTCCAGCGTAAAACGGAAGGATGTCTCGGGCGGGAGCGCTGGTTTTGTCGGGGCGGCGGTCTTCGGCGGCGAGGAGGAGCACCGCCTTGAGAAAAAAAGGGAGGAAGCCTCGAGCGGGAGCGTTGTTTTTGCTGGGGGCGGCGCCGATGAGAGAAAGACTAGCGCGCCAGTCCAGCGTAAAACGGGAGGAAGTCTCGAGCGGGAGCGCTGGTTTTGTTAGGACGGCAGCGAGCAAGAACACCAGCCCTGAGTAAAAAAGGATGAAGTCTCGAGCGGGAGCGTTGTTGTTGTTGTAGGGGGGCCGGTTTTGGCGGTCCCCCAAACCGCTCGAGCGTGAGCCTCAATTTCAATGAAAATGTAGCTGGCGCCTCGGCGAGAGCGCCAGAGCGCCTTTGGGGGGTCCAACAATAATACTTGGTTACTAATTAACATTCAGCAACAACACCACCACCAACACCACCAACAACAACAACAACAACAACAGCACCAACACAAACACCAGCAACAACAACCACAACAACAACAACAGCAGCAACAACAACAACAACACTAACGACGACGACGACAACGACAACAACAACAGCAACAACAACAACAGCAACAACAACAACAACAACAGCAGCAACCGCAGCAGCAACATCAACAGCAATGCGATCCACAGTGACGGGCCTGAAAACGCTAAAAAATGTTGCAGCGTTTCTAGCTCGTCAAGAGCCCAAGGTGCAAAACAGGATAAACAACAAAAAACGCCCAGGGCGTTTCTAATGAGGACCACGCCGACAGGACAGTCGTCGGCCGAGGGCTCTGGAGATAGGTCAGACTGCGCCTTCGAGCTTCCTGTACGCTCAGCGAGTGAGGGAGGCTGAATGTTGCGAGGCAGGGAGGGAGGATTAGGAAGGAGTCGAGCTACGGTGCAGGGGAACAGGGAATGAGCGACCACTCCAAACTTCACGAGAATGAATTAGCGGCTTCCGCGTCAGCGGTGAAGTCATGCGCAGCATTCGACGGAACGTAGTTTACCAAACTTTGGTCGGAGCGCAATGTGCACTCAGCGGGGTAGTTCTTCGTCCCAGATCATTGTTTTATGGCCCTGGGGCCAGAGAACGGGCCCCCGGGGGCCCAAATGACGGAGAATGCCGCGATTGAAACAGCACAATTTCAAAGATCTGGGGGAGACCCTCTCAGTACTAGGTCGGGCATGTCCCCCTACAAGTGGATTTTGGACGAACAATAAGGTAGTCAGAACATATTCCAAAATGGTAAAACATAATCTAAAAATCGTCCCCTGACTATCTTCTATTTTCGAATTTTCTCTTTGTAGAGAGACAGGCCCGACTCAAATCTCAGTCGTGACTCGCGGGGGAACCTCGGCCGTCCACGCGACGCCCAGCTGGGAGGGAATCCGATCCGTCGGTCTGGCGCGCGCCGGGCGGTGCCTTCTCTGTGCAGGGAGTCCTGGGGCCTGGGGCCGAACATGAAGACGAAGTGCCTCCGAAGCTGGGCGCGGCGGCGCGGTAGATTAGATGTCCCTCTGGGGAGCTTCCCGGCGCCACTTGTGCGTCGAAGCTGCGTCGAACGCCCGTCGACTGGAAGCGAACCCGAGTCGAACCTGAGTCAAGCCTGAGTCGAACTGATCAGCGAGCATCTGAGGTATAGCTGCGTCGCCGCCGTCGTTCGTCGCCGTTCGTCGTCGTCCTCGGGAGGGCCAGTCCGTCGAGGCAACTGGGGGCCCCTCCCCAGCCATTTCCCGCCCCCGCTTGGGCCCCCCGCGTGCCGCTCGTGGTCACGGCTGGACCCCGCGTGCAAAAGCGGGCCGGGGACCCATTTTGAGCAGGGCGGGAACGCCCTCCTTGTCTCAACCGGCCCTCCTCCGACGTCGACGGGGGTCCAGAGATCGGAGAGAGAGCGCGTTTCACGGGCGCACGCCTTGGGAGCATCTGGCGGCGCGTTTCGAACCCAGGGGGGGCACCCCACCCCAACATTCGGCGCCGTCGATCAGAACTAGGGGGACTCCCCTCCCTCCTGACCCCCCTCCTCCCCGCCCCCCCCCTTCCCCGGGCGCCGGCGCCGGCGCTGGCGCTGGCGGCGGTCGGCAGCGCCAACGGCGGGGACGCTGGGACAATGACCAAAGAGGGCCCAGAGGCCGCAGATGGGAACACAAATCGCCATATCGAGCCCTCGCCCCGCAAAAGCCACTGGCAGGCCCTTAGAAAGGTCCAAGACGCCCAAGAGACGCCCAGGAGCCTTCACAAATGCTCCTCAGAAGCCCCAGAGACCCCTCTGACGAGAGCTCTGACCCAAAGCCAAGGCACGGTGGCGGTAAGACCAGAAGGCCACACCAGCAGCAGCACAAACCACCACACCACCACCAAAAACCACCACACCACCACCACCACCACTGCCGCCACCACCACCACAACCACCACAACCCGCCACCACCACCACCACCACAAACCACTACACCACCACCACCACCACAACCGCCACCACCACCACAACCCTACATAACCTACAAAAATCTCCACAACCACACCACCACAACCACCACCATCACAGCCGCCACCACCACAACCCACCACCACCACAACCACTGGCACCGGCACCACCACCACCACAAACCACCACCACCACAACCACCACCACCACCGCCACCATCACCACAACCCACCAACACCACTACCACCACCGGCACCACTACCACCAAACCACCACATCACCACCACCACTACCACCACCACAGCCACCACCGCTACCACAACCACCACCACCAGAACCACCACCGCCACCACCCGCAGCAACACCACCAGCAGCACCACCCCCGCCAAAACACAGCCCACTACCACCACCACCACCACAAACCACGTCGCCACCACCACCACGACAACCACCAACACCGCCACCACCACAACCACCACCACCACAACCCACCACCACCACCGCCACAACACAACCACCACCACAACAGCCACCACTTCCACCACCTCAACCCACCACCACCACGACAACAACCCACAACCACTACCACCACCACCACCACAATCCACCACACCACCACCACCACCGCCACAACCATCACCACCACAACCACCACGACAACCCACCACCACCACCACCACAACCACAAACCACCAACACCACCAGAAACCACCACACAACCACCACCACCACCAAAAAACACCACACCACCACCACCACCCCCACCACCGCCACAACCACCACCTCCACCACCAACACAAGCTAGCACCACCACATCCACCACAAACCACCACACCACCACCACCACCACCACCTCAACCCACCACCACCACGACAACAACCCACAACCACTACCACCACCACCACCACAATCCACAACACCACCACCACCACCGCCACAACCATCACCACCACAACCACCACGACAACCCACCACCACCACCACCACAACCACAAACCACCAACACCACCACCACCAGAACCCACCACACAACCACCACCACCACCAAAAAACACCACACCACCACCACCCCCACCACCGCCACAACCACCACCTCCACCACCAACACAAGCTAGCACCACCACATCCACCACAAACCACCACACCACCACCACCACCGCCACCACCACCACCACAACCCACCACCACCACCACCACCACCACCACAACCACCAC